TCAACCAGGCCGGGACAGAGAAGCACTTCCTCTGGGCACTTCCGTGCGGCGTCTGCGGGCCATTTCCCCGTGCCCCGCCCGTACCCCGCCCTGTCCCCTGTCCCCCTCCTCTTCTCTTTCTCTGCCTCCCTGAGTGACATCCTGGGCTTAATGTATGGGGCCGAGGGAAACAAGGAAAAGCTCAGCTCAGCATTTCAGCAGCGCAGGCGGGGGATGAAATAATGCAGAAAAGACAGTCCCGGCAGGGGAAAGAACTCACACGTGACTGTCGTGACTGTCGTCCTTCAGGAGCCAGACATCAACCTGCTGGGCGCTCCCTCCTTCGTGCCCGCCTTCTCCTTTCCTGCTTTCCTTCCTTTGCACGCACGTCAGTGATGGACCCCTGGCCAAGCTTGTTTTCTGGGCTTCATTGAATCCATGTGACATCTCTCCCAGCTCAGAGTATCCTGTGGGAGGATTCTGGTTTCAGTGCCCGGGGACCTTAGCAAATGGAGGTGCAGCCTGCTCCCTGCCTGCAGCGGGCCCACTGCCCTGCGACTGTCTGCAGACAGTGGTGTTGTTGGGTGAGCTGATGTTTATTGCGCCTCGTGGGAGCTGGCTCCTGGCGTGCTCTGTTTACGAGAGGAGGAAACTGAGGCTGTGTGTGTTATTCATGGGAGCACTGGGAGGTGTCCTGCCTGTGCTGATGGGAAATGGGGTGACCGAGCCACCAGGAATTCCACCCTATGGACTCATCCCTCAGGCAGCTGGCATGTTGGTTCCCAAGCCTTCTCCAGTCATGTTTATTATAGTTTCTGCTGAGAGCATGTGTGTCCTCCCCATTTTCCAGGATATAGGTGTGTTGTTACCTTCTCTCCTCCGGGCCTGTCCACCCCTGACTGTGGTACTTGGCCTGTCACCATGCCAGGAGAACTCTAACTGCTCCCCTGTCCTGCTCTGGTATGTTCTGATTTGGTCAGGCTGGGGTGAGGCCTAGGCAAGGGAATTCTGAAAGGCTTCCAGAAGATTCTAAGGTAAAGCCAAGGTCAAGAACCCATGACTCAAAAGGGGTGCTTCTCGACCCCCCACCCCCACTCCAGATGCCAAGGCCTGGGTGGGGGGGTTTGATGGTCACAGCCTGGAGGGGGTAGAGTGCTAGTGGTATCTGGTAGGTGGAGGTGGGCAGTGTTGCTCATTATCTCACAATGCTTGGGGCTGCCCCTCTCCCCAAGAATGACCCGACCCAGTGTCACGGGTGCTGGAGTGGAAGAACCATGACTTTGGAATGGTGGTCCGCACACTGGAGGGTACAGGCAAGGTCATGGCACTCTGGGGCGAGTGGGTGTCCAGACCCCACTCCTGGGAGTTTCTGATCCAGTAAGTTTGGGCTGGAACCTGAGAATTATGTCTACCAGGTTTTAGGTCCTGCTGACATGTCCTCCCAGCACTGCATGTTGAGAACCATACTCTGGAAAGACTGAATCCCATTCCCCTGAGTCTGTGATAGTAAGTGTGTCTATCATGATTACTAGAAAACTCTAAAATAATGAGGCCATGGTAACCAGGAGTGAAGAACATTTTCTCTCACAGAAATCCAGAGTAAGGACAACCGAGATGACTGTGGAAGTTCTGGGGTCATCAGGGACCCAAGCTTCCGTCTTCTTGTTAGATTATCTGAGTACATGGCTCCTAGTGGCAATATCCCTCATAGCCCAGGATGGCTGCTGGTGCACCAGCCATCATTTCTTCATTGAAAAGCAAACAGGTAATAATGGATTCCAGCTATGTTTGAACAGCTTCCTCGGAAGATCAGGAGCACTGGCCTACATCTCTTGGCCAGGTCTTAGTCAAGTGGCCAGAGCTGCAAGGAGGGAGACCGAGATACAGTTTTTGTTTGTTTGTTTTAACTCTGGGCCCTAATGTGTCAGCCAAAAATTAGGGCATTGTACGTTACTAAGTAGAAAGGGTAGAATAGATGTCGGGCCACGAGTGGCCTCTGCCCACATAGACACGCACGCGCCTAATCCTCCAGAGTTATCATGTGTTTGGATCTGCTGTGTTCCAGGTGCTTTTCATGTAGTAGCTCATTTCACCCCAAAAGCTTTGTGAGGAAGATAGTAGTAATGTCACTATTTTGCAGATGGTGAAGAGGAAGTTTTCACCCACCCAAGCTGCAGTCTCAACTGCTGATGTGCAAGCCTGCTTCTACGCCTGGCCAACCTCTTGCCTCATTTGTTTTCAGACACCCGACCGACCTTGTCTTTGGGAGCCTTTAAAGTGTCTGTTCGGCCTTTCCTGGTCTGGTCCCCCTCATTCACAGACCTGTGAGGAGACAGATTCATTGTGACCATGCAGACACTACAGATTTAGCAAGTTAACACAACACAGATCTCTTAGAGTTCTGAAAACCAGGTTCAGTGGGTTCAAGTCAGCAGGGTTGGTACTTTCTGGAAGTTTTAGGGAGAATCCATTTCCTTGCCTTTTGTTTTAGCTTGCAGAGACCACTTGCTTCCTTTGCCTGTGACTGCTTCCTCTGATGCCTCCAGCCTCTTGCTTCCCTCATCTTGTCTTCTACTCCCTCTCCTTGCTACTCCCTCCCCTATGGTACTCCCTCTCCTTGCTACTCCCTCCCCTATGCTACTCCCTCTCCTTGCTACTCCCTCCCC